CCCTATCCCCCACACGGCTCACACCCTCAGATCTGGAACAGGAGGGAAGGGAGGGGGTGAAGGCCCCCAGCCACCGCAGCAGGCGAGGCCCCTCGCCGTCCTGAAGGCCCGGGGTCCCGTCCGCACAGCTCACAGCCAACGGCCGAGTGAGAGGCTCACCTTCGCTGGAACAGGGGGAAGCCTCGATCCGCCCAAGTGCCAACACCGGGCCCCACTCGGCAAACTAATGACAAAGGGCCCGGCCCAGCCCTGAGCACACGATGTCCCCGCGGGGCTGCCTGGACCGTGGCCATGAACCTGTGGACGGGCACCTGGAGGACACACCTTCGGGCCCACCGAGAACGGCTCCTGGGCCGGCTGTGCTGTCCTGAGGGCAGCTGGGCAGACGGGCTCCCCGCCCAGGTCTGCGGCAGCTGTCTAGGTGCCAGCGACTTTCCAACCTCGGACCCCAGGGCAGCTGGAGCTGGTGAGGCCCCAGGGCTCACCGTGGGCTTTCATGTTGTGCAGCTCAGATCTCAGTGAAGCGGTTTTATAAAGTCTCAGCCCGACCGAGCACAAAGCTTTCACTCTAAGGAGCTAGAGAGAGCCAGGTAACCCCGAGATAACGATCCACGCTGCCCGAACGGAACACGCCGCGTTCCCCACAGCGGGACCCAGACCAGCCGCCAGACTGCGGCAAGCCCATCGTGGCCCTGGCCCCGGGCGGGCTGGCAGACCCCGCGGCCTCCGCAGGCGGTGAGGGCACGAGAAAGGGCTTCGTGCCCACAAACCCGGCAGCTCGGACGAAATGGGCCATCGCTTCAAAGACGCACGGCCAGGCTCCCGCGGGAAGACCAGGCAACCCGCATGGGCGAAACCTCCCCACGCCACCCGGAAAGCGCACCCTCGGCCCAGACGGCATTCCGGAAAGCAGAGGGGACAGTCCCCAGAGGCCGCCCGCCAAAGCCACTGCCGGTGGGCGGCTCACAGGCCCCAACCTCTCACCAGCTGCAGAGCCACTGGGGTTCCAGGGGGACCCAGGCTGCTCCAACACGGAGAACCATGTCAACAGAGCACAGAAGCCAGCCTCGCAGGGCAGGAGGTAAGACCACGCCCACCCACACCCTCTATAATAATCCCGTAGAATAAGTCTAATATGCTAAGTGCCCCACCTTTCAACCAGTCGCTATGACACACACTGACCACCAGGGGGCAGACACTCCGTCCTAATGCCGCGACCCTTTAATACAGCTCCTCATGTTGTGACCCAACCATAAAATTATTTTCGTTGCTACTTCATAACTGTCATGTTGCTGCTGTTATGAATCGTCATGTAAATATCTGATATGTGGGATGTATTTTCATTGTTACAAATTGCACATAATTAAAGCATAGTGATTCATCACAAAACAATATGTTAACTATATATGTGTTTTCCGATGGTCTTAGGCGACCCCTGTGAAAGGGTCATTCAACCCCCAAAGGGGTCGCGACCCACAGATTGAGAACCGCTGGACTAGTAGGTTAGCCTGCTGCTGGGCCAATTGGGACTGAGACGGGCCGGACATGCCCTGGAGCCCCCCTGCGGTCGTCCCTCCCTGGCTGGCTACACCTGGGGCAGCATCACAGCAAGAAGGGCATCTGTGGAGTGAGTGGGATCCCTCCAGCAGGTGGGGGTCCCTCGGCCAGGCCTGCCTTGGGAGATAATGTAAAAGATTATTTAAAGCCTTAAAAACAGTGGTTCTCAACTTCCTAATGCTGCAACCCTTTAATACAGTTCCTCATGTTGTGGTGAGCCCCAATTTCACTGTTACAAATTGAATATAATTAAAGCGTAGTGATTAATCACAAAAACAATACGTAACTATATATGTGTTTTCCGATGGTCTTAGGCGACCCCTGTGAAAGGGTCATTCAACCCCCAAAGGGGTCGCGACCCACAGATTGAGAACCGCTGGACTAGTAGGTTAGCCTGCTGCTGGGCCAATTGGGACTGAGACGGGCCGGACATGCCCTGGAGCCCCCCTGCGGTCCCTCCCGCAAACTCCGGGCGCTCGGGGGATGTCGGAGAGCCGGTTCCAGCCCGATCCCTGCAGGCCAGGCCGAGGGACCCCGCCGGGGCACGAATCTGTGCACCAGGCCTCTAGCTCCTGATAAAAACTTTCTTTTTCTTGCCCCGGCTGGTTTGGTTGTGGAGAGAGCATCGGCCCATGGACTGAAGGGAGGGCCCTGGGTTCAATCCTGGGCGTGTGCCTCGGCTGGCAACTCTCTCATCCCTGTCTCTGCCCACACCGTCCACTCTCCGAAAACCAATGGGGGGGCACGAATCTGTGCACCAGGCCTCTAGCTCCTGATAAAAACTTTCTTTTTCTTGCCCCGGCTGGTTTGGTTGTGGAGAGAGCATCGGCCCATGGACTGAAGGGAGGGCCCTGGGTTCAATCCTGGGCGTGTGCCTCGGCTGGCAACTCTCTCATCCCTGTCTCTGCCCACACCGTCCACTCTCCGAAAACCAATGGGAGCATCCTCAGGGGATTGACGGCAAAAACACATGCTGTGTTGTTTTGGTTTTTGGTGAATCCTCGTCCAAGGGTATTCTGTCCACGGGTTTTTAGAGAAGGAAGGGAGGGAGGGAGGAGGAGGAGGAGGGGACACATCGACTGGTTGCCTCTGTTCCCACTCCAACCGGGGCCCGGGGCCGGGGATCGACCTGCACCCCGGGTGCGTCCCCTTGATTGGGAATCAAACCTTCAGCATGCGGGCCAGGGCTCCCGATAAAAACTCCTAAGCAAACGGGGTCACAGGAAACTGGAACGCGGTGAGGGGCCTCAGGGAACACCCACAGCCTCACTCAGCGGGAACACACGCCCCGGGTCCGCAGGCCGCCCCTGCCGCCCAGACCCCACGTGGGAGCTGCCATCGACCCCGCAGGCGCCTCCCACGCGTGCGCTCAGTATGTGTCTGCAGTGCCGTCCACAGCTGCTCCAGGAACATGGAACACCCCCATCAACTTCACGAAGGTCCACAGGTCATTCAAGACCCAGCGTCCGCCCTGGCGCGGGGGCTCAGCTGGCCGGTGCGACTCACGGCGAGAGGGGCAGCAGGAGGCAGCGCCACGTCCATGTTTCTCTCCCTTCCTCCTGATAACAGTCGGGCTGTGTGTGTGCGCGCGTGCGTGTGCGTGTGTGTGTGTGCCAAGCAGAATTTTATTCAGACAAAAGGCTCTGCGAATGATTATTTATTTACATTGATTTTATTGTGAGGGCATTACAGACGCCCCCCACCCCACCCTGCTCCTGCCCCACGATAAACTATTCTTATTTTTCACTTTATTAATCCTCACCTGAGGCTATGTTTCCCATTGATTTTTTAAAATATGTTTTTATTGCCCTGGCTGGTTTGGCTCAGTGGATAGAGTCGACCTGTGGACTGAAGGGTCCCGGGTTCGATTCTGGTCGAGGGCACATGCCCGGGTTGCAGGTCCGGTCCCTGGTGGAGGGTGTGCGGGAGGCAGCTGACCCATGATTCTCTCTCATCGATGTTTCTGACTCTCTATCCCTCTCCCTTCCTCTCTGTAAAA